AAAATTTAAAAGAATGGTGGTCTCTTTCTCTCGTTCTTTTTTAATATATAAAAACAGTATACGGGTACAGAACAATGCCAAACATGATTCCTGGTAAAAAAGACAATTCTGACATCAGATATAAATGTTAAAGGAGATACGTAGGCCAGCCCTTACTGAATGGCAAAAAAAAAAAAAAGTTTTTTTTTTATTTAACTCAAATAGTAGGGATGCTCGTATAGAGTTTAACACTTTAAAAATATGATACACGTAACTTTTGTAGCGTATAATTATAGATACTATATTTAAAATTTTTCTATAAAGAGAACCTACAAAATAAATTTAATTTTGAAAATCACGGAGCGGTAAAAAGAAATGTAGCATATACTAGAAGCTTTTGTAAATAATAATAAAGTTCGATAATAGATTTTATAAAAAAAAAAATGTATATTTGAAAAAATACCCGATGGTTTTACTTCTGCTCAAAGTTAACGAAGAATTGTGAACGGCATGAAATTTTCTATAAAGTCTTTATGAAAACCGTAGAAAAATAGCTTGAAAGTTCGGTAAAATCTTCCCATAATGATCGCAGAAAAATACACGTTTCAGTTAATGAATCATATTTGGCTGCTTGGCAATACAACATACAATTTATTTTCTTAACTTAGGTAAACTGTTCTATGACTGAAATGTTTTACAGAAGAAGCAATAAAATCTTATATGTAAGTGGCAGTGAAAATTCCTCAAAGCAACGAGAAGCGGTTAGAAACCTCGTTACCAGACGACTGTATAAAGAGGGCGCTTTTCGAAGAAGCGGTATTTCTAATACACTGGAAACGAACCTGCATCATAACCGCTGTACAGGATGTATGAAATACTTCATCAGGGATAAAGATAGTTGTAGACCGTGTGTGTTGCCAAGGTGATTCGAAATAAAATCGTCCTTTCAATACTGACTAGTTAAAATTATGTTGTGCAGGTTTGGCCAAAATGTCGTTAAAATTTGTGACAAAAAAGTCTGGCTTTGTAAAGTACTTGTGAACAAAACAGATATATAGCATTAAAAATTACTTTATTTAATGGATACCTTCATTTAGTGAAAGTTTAAGACCCTATGTACGATAAAGAAATATTATAGCAACTTTTAAATGTATTATTATCATTCTGAGATTTATTACTGCTCCAAGATATACACACGACAAATGAGCCCACTATTTCCATATATCAGCCTTTTTTCTTGTCATAAGATAGTTTCGTGTTAAAACGACACAAGCGTTCGAAACTACGCATTTTCAGTCTTTCAGATTTTGCACCAATACTTATATATTGCACTTATACGTTTAGTATAAAGTTAAATTAGTATGAAAACGGAAGTCATATATTGAAGGTTTTCATTCAAATAATGTCGTTTTAAACAAAATGAGCAGTAATCATATCATTTTTATCAGGTATAGAAAAACGACTGTTTAACATAAAAACTGTGTGTGTGTGTGTGTGATATGATATGTAACACCAACTGACCTAATCACAGTAAATAGATGCTTTATTTACGTACAAGATCTGCTTCTGTACAAAATGTCTACGAAATGTATGTCTCTCACACACAACGACTAACTTTTTAACCTACAAATAAATGTCGTATGGGAAACCTCCTCCCTTAAACAAACGTAAATAAACGTTTTATTTATGTACAAGGCCTTCTTCTGTACAAATTACCGATATACAAGGTCCACCACCTAATTATACTCACGTAGATAAATAGGTTTTATTTATATACAGGACTTGTTTCACTCTGTACAAAAGTTTTTTTTTTAAGGGGCTGATTTAGATACATTCATGAAACAACTTATCCCAACATGGGATCTTCTAATTCTGGAAAAGTCACACATGCATGGTTATAGACATACGTAAACTTCACTTGTGTTGTACAAAATTCTAATTTAAGGATTAATAGAGAAGTATAGCGTAACTTATCAAATAACTTATCCCAACAAGGGATCTTCTGACTCGGACAAGTCACTCATCTAAAGCATAAACACTAACATTCATAAAATCAACTCTTTATGTACAAAAAAATCTAACTTTATACGAGCTGATATATACAGACGGCCATATTAATCAAATACTCTGTCTCAATATGGCATCTTCAAGACTCTTAGCACAGCGCATATTAATGCACAAAGACATACAATATAAACTTGAGAACATCTTGGTTATGCATAAAACCTTAATAAAATATGGAAACAGTAAGATAATCTACCTCTATCATTTGGATCATATAATTGCCACTGACAACAAGGAGCTGATTACAAGTTTTGCACATATGTGCAATATTCACAAGTTTTCCAAAATTAAATTGATAATTATTCTCTCTTTGCCACACAAAATAGTCCTCTCTGTGGACAGGAGTATTAAGTTTCTTCATATTTCAAAGTAAAAATATCTTAAAGTACCATTAATTATTTACAAAGTAATAAAAAATTCCTACATCACCAAGATTCAGTAATGTGACTTCTGTAATGTATTTAACTAGTCTTTTTTTTACTTTAAATAAAATAATTATAGTACATTAACTTTATATATATTTTATGATACTAATACCAAAAACCAACACAGGCCTCTTATTTCTTTCTTTTACAATAAAATATTTTCATTACCAAAATCAATACAGTTCATCTTTAAATGGAACAAGCATCTTTTCTGGCTAAATATCTACTTCACAAACTGAACCACAAAGAAAAAACCGTTTTTGACCAAGTAAATTTTATGTTTACTTAGATATGGGTATTTTAAACACTACTTTGATGTCTGCACAAACAGTGAAATGTTAAGTTTTTTCATATCTGATAAACATATATTTTTTCTTCATATAACTTCAATCTTTGTCTAACAGTCTTTTACCTACTTGTGAAATGTTCTCCTGCTTGTAGTTTTAAGTTTTTCAACTGAAGGATTTAATTAGTACAAGTCTACAAGCTACGTTCAACTACTAAAAAAAGTCACTATTTCCATACCAAAGTTTTTTTACCAAATTCTAAAATCATATCAAAATATATTAATTGATACAAGTTTGATTTCACATGAAAAATATATAAATACCAAACAAATCGAATGCATTCTCTACATTTCTTAAAATTTGTTTGTTGCACGCGTAAGTTAATACATAAAATTTTTCACATGTACACAACCAACATAAACTAAAATGAGCACAAGTCAATTTAACAAATAGTTACTGAATAACTCAATAATAAAACCCAACCTGACAACCACTCACTTCTTTTACAAATGTGTGAAAGTAATAATAATGTATTTCTTCATAACCTGTTTTTAAAACATATAAAACTAACACAATACAATATATTAATATATATATATATATATATATCTGTTTGCATGCTAATTAATATATACTAACACTGGATGGCTATATGAAATTTGGCTTGCACTTCCACGATTAAGTATTAAAATCAATCAAAACACACCGTGTAATCATGGACTAAGAAATAAGAGTGGTTGTTTGTTAATCTCAAGATATATGATTAGTACAAAATTTAGAAGTTCAATGCATAAAGAATTAAATTAACATTTTCTAGGAGCCATTTAGTCGTGAATTGAAGAATCAAAGCATTGAATTCTACCTGTGCAAGTCCATTGTTTACATTATGATCGTTACAGGTGTGCTTTAGTACATTTACAATCACTGATAAAACACACCAGTTTAAGGAAAATAGTTTGAATACACACTCAAATTATATTATTAAAAGTTCACAAGAAATAACTGAAACCTGTAAGAGGATAATAAACAAAAGGTTCAAGAAAGCAGCAGTAAAAACTCATCTAGTTTGAGCCCGTAATGTTTAAGAACTTCAAAATAAGAAGAAAAATGTTTATTACTGAGAAATACACACGTACGTATAAAAAATGGCCATGCAACGTTTTGACCTTCTACTTAGGTCATCGTCTGGCAAGAGAAAAATAATGATAATCTGACACATTAGAGAATACATTATTTTAATCTTGTATTCTCTAATGTGTCGAATTATCATTATTTTCTCTTGCCCAATGATGACCTAAGTAGGAGGTCAAAATGTTGCATGGCCATTTTTATATATACGCGTGTATTTCTCAGTAATAAACATTTCACAAGTTAGAAACAATGAAGTGAGATGATTTTTGTGATTATAAGAAGAAAAAGTTTTGAACTGCATTAAGTGGATAAATTTTGTTATGACTTACAAAAAATTTAAACATTTTTTGTACTGACTAATTACTTTGGAAAACACCTATGCTCTTTTAAGTAAGAATAAACATTTTCTGAATATTTTCTTTAAAAAGTAGTTTAAAGCCATGTAAAAACAAGAGGGTTTTTTCATATGAAAACATTTAAAAAAATACAAGTTATAAAACCACTTGAGATCAAACTAATTACTTTTACATGGCTTAACATTCACAAGTTTCTTTTATAAATCATTAAATTTTAGATGCACTGAAAAAAGATACTTTAAACTTCAAACATTAAAAAAAGCATTCCACCTGATTAAAAATCATGACATCAAATCATAGTCCAACACATCAACTAATTGCTCACAAGATAAACAATAAGTAGGAATCTACTAAGAATAGGATATCAGAATCTAAATAGTGGTTTAAATGGACCAAATGGTATTTTACAAAATTAATGTACACACCCTTAGCTTGTCAAGATCATTTTTGTTTTTTGCAGTGTAAAAGCTTTAATATTAGATATAGTTTTTCTTAAGGGCTATATGGTATCCTTTAAGAAACAAAGATTGAACTGGTGAACTTTTTTTTTTTTTTATTACACCATCTCGGCAAACAATAAATATATATTACTTCATTCCAATCAAAGCTTCTCTGGCTCATAATCATGAACAAAATAGACCAATATAGTCAGTTATCATACAGAATACCACAATCAATATATAGAACAATCAACCCTGTAATGGCTAAATAACAAAAACTCTCAGAAAAAACCCCCAAAAAACTGGATTTTTGCTGATAACTTGGAATATCTAAAATTTCATGCTACAGTGAAAATATACTCCAAAGTACCCAAATGGTGATATAACAGAAACCTTAGAAATTCAAACACTTTCATGATCTAGCCATAAGCATCCTATGTCAAATAGAACTGATACATTAATGAAATATTAAAAGCTCCAACACTTTCATGACCAAGCCACAAGTCTTTCATGTTAAAGAATATGCAATGAACACAACCAGTATGTTGCTGTTAGAATCAAAAAACCTTTACTATGATTCAGGCCAACCAAAGTAAAACAAAGAAATCTGTCATTTTTGTGATTAACTTTTAATCCTTTCGTCAGTGGGAAAACAAATATGTGTCAGATTAAATGGTGTGTAGACACAAACTATCCTGAAATTAGGTTAAACATAGCTAACATCTTCCTGTCTGGCTAACTTGTATAGTCAGAACAAATTACCATAGTTTGTTAAAATTTGCTGGGAATGGAAACAGATACAATATTTAAAAACAAGAAAGTTAAAAGTACTATCAGCAAAGTAAAATTCAGGATTGAAAAATGCAGACTACTATTGTTTAGCAAAGATACATGAAATACTACTTATTATAGTACCTAGTCAGGGAAACAATGTAAATTGACATTTTGTATTAGTTAGTATAATGTATAGCAAGCTATGGATACTTGGTTCTTTGTTTTACAAATCTGTTTGAAATGCCTGAACATTTAAAAAAAAATTATGACTTATAATGAAGGATGTCAATAGACACAATCACAAGTTTACTACACTCAGTCTTTAAAAAAATTTTTAAGTTGAAAATTAATAAATTTTTAACCTTCACTAACCTAAAAATAGAAATATATTAGATTTAAGGTAGCTATTTAAATGTTTCTCCTGCTACTTGTATCAAGTAACAAAGGGTCAAAATTTTCAATTTTGACAAGATACTACGAATTTTGCATACATAAACAAAAATGAGCAAATTCTTATATAAAAAAGAAAATGTTGAGCTAATACTAATACTATTGTCTGTTATTTTGCTTTATATGCAAAGTACACATTTCATTAAACTTAGTAATAACAAAAATGTAGCTTCATATGAAACAGTTATTATAATAACTACATTTTCAAACTAACCCATTTAAATACTCATTTTCAACAATATGTGCAATACAAGAACTAATACACTACATTCTTATTAAACTGTCCTCAATATTTAGGTAGCACTGTTTATGTACAGAAATAAACATATCAAAATTACTGTCACAGTTGATTGTAGCATTTTAGCCTTTGTCCTACCAAATAGAAAGGCTCTCTTATTTTCCTCATTATGTTCTTTAGTGGCTTCCCCTCTTTCTCTTTAAACAATATTTTCCAATCACTAAGTTACATCATTTCTCTTATTAACTTTTTGACTCTTAGAATTTATAATAAAACTACTAAAATATTATTTTAATCTTGTTTAATTAGATCATTAAAACTAACACATTTATTGCATTGAAATGTATCAGTAAGTATATATATATAATATCAAGTTAGGAATTGCACTAGCCTCAGAAACTTGTTAGTGACTTGGTTAAAATCATGACCCAGTTCATTACATAACTCCTGAAGTGTGTTGGCACTAAACCAATACTTCAGTGTTTGATATAAAATATTGCTTTGAAAAGTGCTTCAATGGAGAAATAAACAGAAAATGATTTTAGATAATCAAACAACCATTACATTTATACTTGCAAGTCATATCTCAGCAAACTGGCTGATAAGGATAGGGAACAAAACAACAGCTTTTAAAGGAAATCTGCTCTCTCAATTGGATAAGAAAAAAAAAAAAAGAGTTAATCCTGACATGGCACACCTTCGTCAAGACCCTAGACCTTCAAATTTCACTTTTTACAGTCATTCTGAGATAATATTTTAGGTATACTGTACACTACAGCAGTGCTTCAAGTATTTGCATGTTTGATCTTTTGTTACAAGTTTCTAGATTGAAGAAAGAATTTCAGATTTTTCCAGATAGAAAAACAGAAATCTTAGGGATAAATTTAAAGCTATTCTAGTGAAAATTTTGGTTTGGTTTTCAAAAATATGTTGAAGAAAATTAGAGCAAATGTTCAGTTCACCACGGTGACTGACACTCATATAATATCATTAAAGATATCTTGAAATAAAGTGTTGTTAGTAACGGACAAGATTATTCAAATATATTTAATACACCAAGACCAGATTAGTTACCATTTGTTTTTCTGAAGATATAGGTGTTTATGGTGATGTTTCAAGATCACATTTACAGGTTTCCCAAAATTTAACTATTAAGAAATGTCAATATTACCTAAGTAATTTTCTATGCAATACACAAATGTGCAACCACCTGTTATTTACACCAAGTAAACATTGACATCATCATCAGATCAACATCCCATGAAGAACAGAAACAAGTATTTTTTTTTCTAATTTTAGGGTTTTTTTACAACAATTTTAAAGCTAGGAAAGTTTAGAGAGAACTAAAAATTAGGAGTTTTAGGGATATATTAATTTTCAAATAAAAGTGTCATTGTTTATGCCCAATATATTAAAACAATTTTTCGTGATTTATTTCTAAGAGAAAAAAGATAATAAGTTACATTATAAATTTATGTCTTTTTAAGCTTTCTATTTTTTACAACTAATGTCCTTATAATATTTTGGCAACATTCAGAGTATTCACTCACAATAAGTTGAACATGAATATACATGAACAGTTACATGAAGGTAGGTCTAATGTATTAATCTATGTAATAAAGCTCATACTTCAATATTATGTCACATCACTGACAACTTTGTCTGGTTGGTGTGTTAGTTGAACAAACTTACTTTACTGACAATTACATGTACGAGAATGTATTCAATTAATTTTATTCAAGTGCCTAAAAAACTTCAGTAAAATATCAGTTGGTGATGTCTATGCTACATTATTTACCAACCTATAACCTCTTTCATAACCCCTTTCCATTTTGTGAAATTCCACAGGATCAATCTCTGTAACTATAGGTATGTCCAACTAAAATGTCATACGACACAAACAATAAAATCTTCAATACAAGAATCTGCATAACAGGTTAACCAATGTTTGCCAGATAACAGGATTAGATACACACGTACATTTCTGAGTTATCATCGATGTACATGTAAAACAATAAAGTTAGATCTTAAAAAAACTGTCAAATTCTAGAATCAAAATGAAGCTTAATTGAAAAGGTTGATAAGCTATCTTATGTTACAGAAAAATCTAGATGAAAACAAACTGGTAACAATATGATATCATAAAAAAAAAAACGCTAGCACTATATCAGAATAAGCCCGAACACTGAGTAATAAATGTTTGATGAGCACAAGGTACAAGAAGCCAACTAATGTGGGTAGAAGCATGATAATTAGTAAGTCATTACATGTATGTTTTTGAAAATTAGGTAAAGCCTGAGATAATAAAATAAGTAAAGCTTTTAGAAGGACATTAAAAAGGTAATATTTGGAAAAAAATTCAGGTTTACAATTTGGTACAAGTTATTTAAGATGAAGGATTTGAAAGACGCAAGCTGAAAGTAAAAATATACAAATAAGTTACTAAAAATGTTAGATAAAAAGAAGCTTCCTTTGTAGTGTAAAAATAACTATTATCTTGCAAAAAATAAATTTGATGATAAATATGAATTGTGATAAAATACGAGACATTTAACACAAATCAGGTGGTTAAATTAGACATGTGAGCCAAATGTTGTTCAACCGAGTTCTTATTTTATGAAAAACAAAAACATTACATCTCACAGAAAAAAAGACATTTTTTTTATGAATATTATACCAGCATGTTGAGCTAATCCATATTTTAGTGTACCTTCATGATTTCAAAGATTAAAGGTAATTTTAATTAGTTTCCTGGAGATTTACACACTATCAGAAAACCCAATCAAACATAAGTTACATGACTAAATGATATAAAAGTCAAAGTAAGTAAGTACAACAGGAGAAAAAACATGATTACTTCTTTTCCTCTACCTTGCAAGAAGTAAAATTCAATGTGCTCCTCTAGTTACATGGCTCATTATCTCGTCAATACCTTAAATAAAATATATTTGGTCTAACAGTGTAGTATGGAATGTGGAAAAAAAATCTAAATTTTGAGTACATTTCAACCAAGTAGCCTTAAAATGACAAGAGTGTTCGCTGAACAGAAAAGTGAGTGAAAACAATATCTAGATCTTGTTTGAGCACCCAGTAGCATTAAATAAGTGGTTTGTGAGACTGCACCATAGTATGATTAAACTTTGTTGACTTACAGAGGAGAGGTGAGCCTTATTATTATGGCTGGTAGAAAAGTATGAAAACATTAGGACATGAATAACACTTCAAAAAAGGCTAGAATCAAGGCCACCGGACGACTTGGAACATGAGACAGAAGCATACATGCCTAAACTCTGTCACTGTCACGTTGATAGCTTCTTTACAGTGTCTTCAGTTTTGGCATAATGCTTCTTTTGATCATTTTTAGAAGATAAACGAGATGAAGATGTATGAGAAGAAGCCACAAGAGGAAGCTTTAGTGAGCTTGTAGTTGAAGGTGTGGTCTTTTGTTTGTTTGTTGGGCGAACCTGTAATTGACTGAGTTCTGCTGGAGAAAGCATTTGGCTGGTAAACACTTGCTGGTAAGTGACTGACTGCTGAGACAACACCGTCCCACTTGGAGATGACAAAGAACATGCAGTGCTGAGGCCCAGGTCTTCAGGGTCCTCTGTGCTGTTAAACAATGTACTGCAATTTAACTCTGGAAAATAATAGAGGAACCAATTAATATTTTCTTTAAAAATGGTTTGAAATTTCCAGAATTTTATTTTAGAATTAAATATATATTCAAGCCTTTTATCTTCAGGTTTTGTATTCCACATAATTTTTATGAAACAAATGAATAAATACACACACACAAACAATTACGGTCCATTTTAGTTTGCTTGAACTACAAGCCTCATCTGTAATTAACACTGTGCTAATAAATGGATAACAGAAAACATCAAACAATTTTTTTAAATCAAAATAATTAAACATTAAAGCAAATTGTGAAGTGTTGTGCATACTTCTCTTGCATATTATTCCAAGTACATTCATGTTATTAATTAGATGGTGTTATTCAATGTACTGTAAGTTTTTACACATATTTTACATAGTATGTTGATATCAGTAGAGAGAGAGAGAGGGGTTTACACATTCATATTTTTTCATCTGACAAGAAGTGCAATGATGAAAACATTAAACCTGCAAAATTTCAGTTTCAATCAAACTTCAGAATCACAGATTTTTGAATTGAAATTTTTCATTTTTAGTGACTTATGAATACCTGATTTTAAAAATACTTTGAATTTTTAAGAGAAAAAAACTCGTTAAAAAACCTAGCCTGGTTAATAAATGATGTTACTTTTGTTTTGTTTGAATCCAGTGGTAAAACTACATTAAGAATTTTACTTTAACAACAGTTTTGGACTAAACTCTAGATGTTAAATGTGAAAACCGCATCAGAACAATTTGTATCTAAATTAATAAATAAACAAACCCAATAATATCCCATAATAACTGTAAATGAGAGGCTACACCCTCTTGACTGTTAATACAAAATTTAAATACACAGTCAATACACTTTTATGTTTGAATTGGAAATGAACTTATTGTCATACATTGTATTTCTTTTTCCTAAAATGTCTTGTATTTCACCAATTATAACGTAAAAAGGGTCTAAATATGTTTTGCATAAGTTTATCTTTGAGACCTAGCTGTCTAAATATCTCCCTTAAATTTGATAGTTGTTTTCAATTACACAAGTTGTAATTTTCCTAAATTGAAAATGTATTTCTGATAGATACTTCCTCTCACATAATAGCTTTTTCTTGCTGCCATCTATATGCACAAATGTTTTCACTTGCCACTAGCCTTGATACTCCCACCTAACCCATGTATTTAATGTGGTACAGCTGCACTGTAGCATGCAACAACCCTCTACCAAGTGGGGAGGAAGGGTGGGAAATGTGAAAGGAGGTAAGTATCTATCGGAAATACAATTTCAATTTAGGAAAATTATAAATTCTGATACGATACCTTACCTCCTCTCACATAATAGCTAGAATTTCACATTGAAATGGTGGACGAACCAGTGCAAAAATTACCTAGATGAGCATCCTTCAGAAAGTATCTGAAGAGAGCCCAAGGATGTGACATCTCTTGGTTGAGGAAAACCACACCACATATCAATCAAGTATACTTTTCACCCATTGTGAAAATATGTCACTAATTCAGGCAGAAAAGCAGTAAATCCTATACTTAACTGGACATGCCAACTGGTGTAGAGTGGCCAGGGTGTGTCAGACCATAATATGAGAGTCAACTCCAGTCCTAAACCTGATGGTATTGGGTATCTATTGTCTGGTCCAAAAGGGGAAAATGGTTTATGTCCTGCCATCCCAGTTAGGGCATATGTGTGCATACCCAGTACACAACCAACACCAGACCATCTGGGAAACGGTAGGAATGTCATGGTTCACTCAAATCCAAAACCAGGTGGTATTGGGAATTTATCGTCTAGTCCATCATAAGATGAGGGTTCCCTACCAGCCACGTGTATAAGGATTTATGTTGGCTGGTCCAGCTCTAATCCAACACCAGACCACATGGGAACTGACATCCAGATGGCAATAGGATGAAAGATCCCAGCCAGAGGGGTTAACTGCATTTTGGCAGATCATTTCTGGTCCATAACCAGGCAGCACTGGATATTTTTCTTATGGTCTGCAGTTAGAGGAGGGTTAACACAGTTTACACCAAAAGAACACTACAGCCCTACTCTCAACTGAATGGAGGATGCCTCCATTGTCCACCACCCCAGCAGCTAGAAGCTGATAAGTGACAAGGACTCCAGAGGAACACAACATTGGAGAAAGTGCAATGAGTGACCATGAAACCCTATTTTTAAAAGCAGGCCGGATCTGATTTATTCAACCAGAATTGGAGGGATGGGCCGCTATTCAGACACTGCTTTACTCATGGATAGTCCATAAATTGGTACGGTCTGGGACGGACATACTTATGATGCAAAACACGGGGAGGATGAACCTACTAGTGGTCTTGTGGAACACCCCATCTCAACAGTGGGTGTTACAGACCTGAAAGGCCATATACTGCAGATTTATAGCCTAGTATATCTGGACAGGCACCATTTCCCAGTGCAGGATCCAACATGTAGAATAGTGACCCTGGAAGAGAAATAAAGAAAGAATATAAACAGTTGAACCACAGAGTGGAGAATGGAAACAGGTGGTATTTGGTATCCATGTAAGAAAGAGACAGCAGCATAATGAAGGTGTTTGGTGTTACACGTGTCAGCCCAAATGATTTCCTCCAATGATCGACAAAAATGGGCAGTCAAGGAAAAGGAGAGGTGCTGGATCTGATGAGAGGACACTTGGAAAAGATGTTGGGAATTGGAAAACAAGGAAAAAGAAGCCAATCTGATAAGCTGATGAATCCATACTTTAAGGGGAAATATCATGGTAAGAGAAAAGGTTCTAATGGATAAACAAACGGAAACCACGGAAAGAAGCTGTACAGGTAATATAACACTGGAGACCACGAACAGGACAGAGAAGACGATACAGATTAGAGCAGAAATACAAATATGAAATGAAAGTTAGAAAAATAGGTATGAATGTGGCATCACCTTCACAAGCTGCTGACATCTTGGAAAAAAAAACAACTGCAATCTAGATACAGGAGATAGTGATAAAAGACAGATGATACAGTGAGGGCGAAAACATCTGACCGATGATGACCACAGGCAAAAGGGAGCATAAAACAGGTCTTGAGGGACAAATGGTATAAGGAGCAGGTAACCAAAGGTTCGAAAGGAGGTTGGATAAGGGTATAGAGAATGACACTGAGGTCCCAATCTGAAAGGAGCATAGGGCAAAATGAAGAAACAAAAGAGAGAGAGGGCTGGAGAGAAAAACACTCTATGGGAATGGGAGAAACAGAAGGTATTGGACAAGGCTGCTCTACAGCCAGCAATGGTAGATATGGAAGAACCATTCTGAAACAGCCAGGTAAAAAATACAGAGACATGTGGAACAGTAGAATGGGGAAGGGAGGTAGCTATCGAGCAGGCCACTGACAAAAACACACCATTTTCTCTCATATATCAGTAAGGAGGAAGGATGGCCAGAATGTAACTGACTCGTGGAGAATCCTGACTGCCTTGCAATGGACCAGACAAACACCATGCATAAAAATGGAGTGTGGTGACACTGGGATGATACACTGGCAACTGAGGTTGTCAAAGTAGGGAGGGGAATAGCAGAAGCAGTAATGAAGTGCTCACTGAAGGAGGGTAAGGACAGAAAACTAAGGTTGAGCAGGCCAGAAAGGTGTGATGAGAAGGACCTGACATGGAGTGGATAATGGATAAAACTCTAGGAAGGAGACAGATAGGCATAAAGGTAAAGGCGGGACCAATCCTGACTGAAGGCATCTACCACCAAAACCAAAGGATGTGGAATTGGGACAAAAAAAGGGTAGCTTGGAAGTGAGATAGATGGCAAATGCATCCAGAAGAGGTGTACCCCACTGGTCACACAACCACCAAAACACCTGAGGATCAAGGAACCACTCCATGAGGAAAACCTTGTTGGGATGAAACAATCAATCCACAACAAGATTCAGAGCACCTGGAATATGACATGCCAGTAGGCATTGTGATGTGAATGGATCTGAAATAGGAGTTCTAAAATCTGGAAACAAAGTGAATTTGAACATTTGCCCCCTTGTTGATTGATATACGAGGCAATGATTGAATTGTTAGAATGGGTCATAACCATTTTGCCTTGTGTTAAAGGCAGGAAATGATACAGAGCCCTACAAAGAGCAAGGAGCTCTAGCATATTGATGTGCATAGCTGATTTAACCAAAGACCAACAACTTCCTGCATTTCCATAATTGTTACCTAACCTGTCAGAGAAGCATCTGTAAAAAGATGCAACTTCGGAAATGCCCAAAGAGAACCCATGAAATACAAAACCCAATACTGTAGTTTACTTAATATTTCCTGCAATTATCTTTTATGGTTCTACACTGAAACTTGTTTCACAGGTTTTAACTTATGCAGAAAAATGATTTTGAAAATGCATTAATTTTCTATTACATAAATTTAGAAAAAAATTTTTAGACATAATTCTGTATTTCTAAGCCACATTTTTCAAACTGGGCATGATATGACATGCATTGCAGGTACTTAACTGACAACAGCTTACGTCTCCTCGTTGTTTGGTGTTTCCAGATTACTAGTTATTATCTGCATATAGCATATTGAAAACAGTTACTCAAATGGTTTGGTGGGTATAAAATTACTTTACATTTTTTAGCAATATCAAGCAACAAACAGTCACAACTTCATTAAGTACCCCTCTCAAAATGTCTTTGTGGAAATGGATAAAATCAACCAATCCTCCCAAAACCAGTGGCCTCCCAAGCCCACAACAGTGTGACACAGAACTTGAAGCGCAAACCACCCAGGCTGCTAATGATGCTGTCAACAAATTAATGGGCACAAATCCACGAAAACAAATATGTGGCAAGTACAACAATTACAATGATGAAATCAGAACTAAGATTGAATGGCCAGCAAAAGAGATTGGTGTTGCATGTACAGTACGGAAATTCCAAGCCAATCAATGAAAGCACTGTCCAAAGCATAAAAGCAGCATTTGTGAGGCAACATAAAAAGCTAATCCAGAGAAGAGGATTGCATGCCTAACAAAGAAACCAAGTGGCCCATTTCTACTCCTTGGAGAGAAGTACAACGTATTGGTGAGAGACAGCCATTTTGAAACCAATCCACGCATGCTGGCTTATTAAAAGGCATGAAATAATTAGTAAACGACATGAACTGATCCAATCAGGTTTCACATGATTATCATTTGTATGTTCCCATTGATTGTTGTATGTAAAAAGACTTAATGTTTTGTAACTGACTCATGCATGTCATTTACATAATGCTGTGCTTCATGAATGTGCTAAAGAATAAATAATAATTGCTTTTATATATGTGTTATTATCATTTATAAAGGCTTTTTAATTTGCTGGAACTATTACTTGCAGAAACGTATGTGCCACAAAAATAGCAAAAGTTAATTCCACACAAATAATAAGTAATTTACAGTACCTATCACCCTACACAAAATACCTTTCAAGAAGGAAATAAGCTATAAGGACCAGATGATACAAGAAACAGGAAGCCAAAGGTTCAAAAGAAGGTAAAGTAAGAGCATGGAGAAGAACATTAAGGACTCAGTCAGATAGGCTAGAAGAATGGGGTAAAAAAAACAAACATAAATGGAAAACCAGAAAGTGATTGACAGAACCATCCATTAATCAGCGATAGTTGTGAGATACCCATCATAGTCGAAAAGCCATGTGAAGAACATAGATGAAATGGAAGGATGAGAAGGATCAACACCTAGACCAGTGGTGATAAATATGCCACTTCTGCTAGAAAATGTTTAAGGAGGAAGGACAGAGTGGGATAAGAAGAAGACTACACGTAAAGGAGAGTCCTGCCTATCCTACAACGGATTTGACAAATCCTATGAGTGAAGCCAGAGTGATGACATGGCTGGATGAAAGAGAGGGAGTGCAAAGCTGAAGAGGAAAAGGAGGGGAGGAATTTAAAAGACTCAGCAAAGGAAACCATGATTGGGCCAGTCAATAGAGTGCCACCAGAAGGACTTGACAAGGAGTGTCCCAAATGAAGGAGAGAACTTGAGGGAGGAGATGATTAGGGAAGCAAGCACAAAGGAAGAGATTGGACCATTCCTAACTGAACACCTCCACTGCCCGTGTTAATGCATGCAGAACAGAAGATCTGAAGAGGGGAAGCTTGGCATTGTTGTAAGTGGCAGAGGCATCAATGTGAGGAATGCCTAGTCTAGTGCAAAGCAATTGAAAAACACAAGGATTTAAGGACCATTGTGTAAAAGGAATCCCAAGAGAGGTTCCATTGATCATGTAGAGTCCACAATAAAAGATGAATGTGAGTACAATCCAAGGGGATAAGGGATTCAAAGGAAGCCCAAGTCCCCAACGGATAGAGAACCTCTCATGCAGGAAGAGGAGGACAAAGCTGTGGAAACCAAACCTTCCATGCCTTGCAAACTTAGCAGAGAAGGTTGTACCCTGCTGAAATGGGAAATGAAGAACACACCCAAATGAACCAGATACTTGGTAAGTGTAAGATGGCACTTCTTCAGCTTGACTAGACAACCTAGCAAGCTGCCTCCTGAAGAACAGGGAGTGGAAAGGAGTTGGGAAGACAGGGAACAGTAACTGGAACAGAAGGAGCTTGGGAAACATAGGACACTAGCGTAGTCAAGGGAAAATGTTGGCATGCGGCCTCAGCCCATGACCACAAAGAATCAGGTATTCTATCAAAAAACCTATTGGTGGAGCAAAGGAACCAAACAAAGGTCTTTGTGATAAGGGGGAGGCAAACATACTTGAGCAAGAAGGGCACTCATCCTCAACAAATTTCAGCAACAGAGTAACCAAGTGAGAAGAGACAAGGCTGAGGAAAAAAATTCACCAACATAGCAAAAAGGAAAGGAATGACTGTCCATTCCAGTATACTCATCAGTAACCATGGTTATAACAAGAGCTCTAAAGCTGAAATACACACATATATACATAACTGCTGTGAGAAGCTTAACTACTAAAATACATAACTGTGATTATAGCAACAGGTTTCAATGTAAAACCCTCCCCCCCAAAAAAATATATACAATTGCTGTGAGAGGCTTAACTACCAAAATATGAAATTGAAGCTATAAAAAGTCCTAAACATGACCCCCCCCCCAAAATATATATATATATATGTATATACATGCTCCAACACATATCAGAATCTAAAAACTAAATCCTATTACAACAAGTTTTATCATTAGGCTTAATTTACTCAGCAGATCTCAAGAAATATAAATATATAAAACCACAATATCAATAAGATTCACCTGTGGATACAAATAAGAAGACATTGGAATAATCAGACTTTCCTTTTATTAATTTCTTCTACTGGTTTGGTGACTTCAAAAGTAACTCTTCAGGAAATATATATATGTATACACAAAGGTAGCTACAAAGGTTGAATCTAAACTTACCACAAGACACAGATGTGGGCAGAACAGCAGACACAGGAACTTCACTACTAGGACTAGATATTGTCTGTCTGCCATTTTTGGTCCCAGGTGTGGAAGTTAGAACTCCACTTACTTTGTGTGGGGTCAACCCATTAGGGACTGTGACCCATGAAGTAGTGACCTAATCACATCAAAAGTACTTTATCAGATATATAGTTAGATTAAATATAACAGAAGTTTAACATAAGCAAAAGGGTAAACAGTCTAAAGACACAGCTGTAGACAATTTTAATAATTAGTAAAGTTCAATAAATCTCCAGAAATATTTTAAAAAAAGAAGTCTATCATTAATAAAGCTCAACTGCTTGTAAGAGTACCCAAGACTGAGTTTCTGATTACTAGCATCACATATAATCAGACATATGGCATCATACAACATACAATAATATACGTAATGTGAATAAAATACATTTAACAACTATGTTTTCTTGATGGTAAATCACTATTTTCTGTAAGTTATCAAATACAAAATAAATAGGCTACCCTAATTCCAATCTAACAAAGTATTTACTGCCTGATAAAAGGAATCTGCTCGAAACATCACATAACATAAACTAGAAAAAGTTTTGATTTAGAAGTGTCAATTTATCCTTTATTATCATTTATCAACATTTTTCTTCTCTCATCTTGCAGAACAACACTCATTCAATTTATTCTTTGTTTATTTTTGTAAATTGTTTAAGCAAATAAAATATGAGTTAGTTTTAAATCACAGTGAGAAATATCTTGCACATCTTATGTATTTGGAGATTAAGAAGAATATAATTATTAATATGTATAAATAAGGAAAGAAAAAAGTAGTGCAGTATCATTTGTAAAGGCTAATAGCAGGGGTATTATTTATGGAGTGGGAGAAAGGAGGCCTCCTTAAAAGTTGGAAGGGAGCCCCCAAATGGTAGTTTATGCGAGACATGTCTAGTCAGACCAGATTAACATATGCACACAAGTTATGCCATAGAGTAAGGTGTTTAAATGAATTAGGGGGCCATGCAAGATAGGTCTTCTTTGCTCCCCCACCAAGCCTTTTGTGAAATGATGCTCCTATTTATGAGCAGTTTTAAAAATATCCCAGTAATTAACCTCTAAAACATAGTCAGTAAACTTAAATGTATATATAAATCAGCATAATTTTCAATAGACATCTTTAGCAAACCTTATGTAAAAGAAATTTTCAGACATAGCAAATCAATTAGTGCAAAATATGTAAAAAAACAGGCATTAGTAGTCAGGTTGAGACCAGTTAGTCTTATGAATATGCAAAATGTCCAGGTTAGTAACTCAATAAGTAACACATTTCAAATCTTAAATTTTACAACAAATAAGAACAAGCAGTACAACTGAAAAGTCCCTCAAAGCTAGAAAGGATCAGTAAAATGACATGTAAAATTCTAAACTGCATAAAATGAGTAAAAACAATCATGAGAAATGTCTTTCACATGAGATGAAGTCAGAAGATGCGTTAAAAAACTTATGAACTGGACCCAGTAAAACTAAATACAACTAATCTGCTTATGCATACAGTATAATAAAAATTTACATATACCACTACATGGAATCAATCAGAAGAAAACATGTTTAAAATTTTACATAATGGACCTATTAAGCAAATATAATTTTTCAATCAATATTCCAAACTTACAGATTGGGCGACGGAGCTTGAAACAACTGAAGACGTGGAGAATGAGCTGTTTGTTTTTAATGATTTTTGACTCATTCCAACAGCACCATGAACATTATTTCCAGAAGTGACTGATGTCATTGGCTCTACCCTTTTGTTCACAGGGAAAGTTGTGTGATTCTTAAAAGCTGTCTTGTTTAAAACAGACTTTGATGACAACTTCTGATTTTTAGATTTTGCTTTCGAAATATTACTGCCGAGTTTGATTTGTGTAGCACCAGAAGAATATGTCCTGACATTATGTTTTGTTGATTTTTTACCACTGCAACAGCTGCTATGCTTCGTTGAATGATTAGAAATAGTAGATCTTTGTTTACTCTGCATAGCTGCAAGCTGGTTTACTAGGAAAGCAGAGTTCACCATCACTTCCTTATTCCTTACAGAAGATGCTAACATGGAATTTTTTGATAAGGAAGGCAACTGATTGTTAACAATATCCATTTCAGTAACAAAAAATGTCTGGTTTTTGCTGGAATCACTGCTTGGTGCACCAGAAGAGACTGCAGATGATGTGTTTCCATTGCCTACAGATGAAACCAGGTGTAATTTTGACAATGCTGCCAAGCTATCGTCCATACTGAGAGAGAATGGAAGTGAGATGGTGTGGGAAGAATTCACAGAGTTTAATGTAATTGTGTCTCCTGGTTCCAGTGTCATCACAGATGGAGACAATGAGCATACGCTGTCAGTGGATATGGCAGGTCCAGACTGATTTAACTTGACGTTCAGTCCATTGGTTTTTGTCTTCTTGGCAGGAGAACTGTCAAAAGTATGCAATAAAATACTATCTTTAGACTTGGTGGATTTATTCCCACTGGGCTTGGGTTTTAAAGACTTTTGATGATTTATTGTGTGAGATGGAGGCACCTTGTTGAATACTGGTCTTGGGATCTGCTGGGGTCCATGAGATGACGCTACATTAGTTCTAACTCCATTTGATAATGTAGTAAGCACATTTGACTTGTTACTAGAGGATATAACTGCTTCTTGAACTGCAGAGTCTGTGCATGTGAAATCATACGGATCATTCTCAGGCTCTGGAACTGGAGGAAGTTGAGACTCAACACAGAGCTTTCTGAAATAATACAAATCATATATAACTATCATAACAAAAACTATAAGCTTGAACTAAAAAAATATTAATAACAACAACAACATCTGATCACATACTAACATTTAGTTAAAAAAAAACAACTATAATAACTAAATCAATTTTATATTTATCTAAATAGAAAAGTTTATTTTCTGTAAGATAATAAGCCAATACTCTTATTAAACATTTCGTTAAGTATTATAATCTTAGCTGCCAATGTTCACTAAATCACAATCAAGTAATATTTTCTTTACATACACTTCATTTACACGCTGTTCCCACAAAATCAATATGAAAAATTAACCTTTATTATGGTCTCAAACTGTCTGCATAAAAAAAAAAAAAAAAAGAACCACAAAATCAAGCCAGCTGAGACAAACCAATATGGATACCCTGCAATGACAATGTATTCCATGATAAACATACTTATCTAGGTCCAGGAATGAGAAAAATTAAATAATTCCTTTATGCTTAACAAGTCAAATGTAACAATGTTGCTACAGCTTGTGCTATATTCATACAGTATTCCGCAGCAAGTACACATAAACATCCGAAATCAAAATTGTTTGTATGTTTATTATTTTACAAAATGCAAAAATAAGGTTAAAAACAAAAATGCAAGATTTATTTCTAAGTGTCTTTATTTATTTTCCTGATTATTGTAAAATGTAAATCAGCATGAAAAGCTATATTTAATGTGCTCACTGCAGAGATCAAAACCTGAATTTTGAAATTAAAAAAAAAACCTAAAGCTTATTGCTAAATCACTGGGAGTGAATATGTTCTTATTCCACTCACTTCCACTAAATTCTGGACACAAACTTTGTTCCAGACAAGTTTTATTAATATTCATAATACGTTAATGTTTGTTTTCAATAACAATCTCTCAAAGTAAGAAAATTATTTTATTAACTTTTGAATATATTTGTTTTAATGTCTGGGAGTTTCACACATGCACTGTACATGAAGTTTTTCTATAAATTATACCATATTTTTAGAACTGCTACATAAATAAAGTCTTACATCAATTCGCTACAAAATTGAGAGCAACATCAAATTCAAGAAGTTTAGGCATTTTACTTTCTAGTTTTTGATGATTAGACAAACAGGAAACTTATGACAACAGAAACCATGCAGTGATACTTTGAACTTCAATTTCTTTTTTTAGGACTTATTCTTATGCTTTAAAAAGTTTTATGGAACTGAACAACAAATTTTAAACAAATATGCAGTTCATACAGTTAAGTGTTTACACGTTTAACTTCACTAATGCCTTGCACAACTGTTGAAACAACCTTTTAGTAAATGTCTATTACTGTCATTAGTGAAGTTAAACGTGTAAACATTTCACTGTTTGAACTTGCACAACTGTTGAAACAACCTTTTAGTAAATGTCTATTACTGTCATTAGTGAAGTTAAACGTGTAAACACTTCACTGTTTGAACTTGCACAACGGTTGAAACAACCTTTTAGTAAATGTCTATTATTGTTATGAAAAACATGACATAAATATGCACATCAATGTGAATTATCAACACACAGATACATTAAAAACCTTCTCAAGTATACACAGTATTTTAAAAGTTATAAAACATCAAGAAAGCACAAATTGGAATATTTCATAAACAAAACAAATGCGATAAAATATTGATTTGAAACTTTACATATTACACATGCAAAAAATATTTAAAACTAAAGTTTGAATCATGTACTTCTTGTACCTCAAAGTTTTACATTAAATCAAAAGTGATTCAATCAGGTACATTACGAAATTCTTACTTTCTCAACTAACTTACAACTTAAAAGTTGTTTTAATGGCTAGAAAGTGTAGTTATTACACAAAATGGCTTAGCTGTGAATGTTTATTCTAGTTTAGCTTAAGGCTGAGACTTTTATGTAAGAGATTATCCATTTATGAAATTCAAAATGAATTTAAACCTATATATATAATTCCAAAGAACTTGGAAATTGTTGTACAATTTATTTTCTATTATTTTGGTGATAGATTACCATGTTTAGTTTATTAAAAAAAAACTAGGTATAAGTTATATTTCCCTCTTAAGCAGACAGAATGAAACATCACTATTTCAAAATAAGTATACACTGATTGTCTTGTGTTAAAAACAAAAATGTTTGACAAAAGGCCCTGACAAAATTCCTCTTCATATTTGGCTAACTTTAACTATCTAGACTTGAGTATGTGTTTACCCCCCCCAGTTTTTATTCTCTCCAATGCCAATTAAGATTAAAATATATTCCTAATAGAAATTACTTCTTTTAAACTATATTTAAATTTAAGTAACAAAGAGGAGTAAGTTTTAAAATTCTATTGCTCTTAATTCTTCATATTAGCTCTCACACTGCTCTGACTATAAATATAGCTGAACCTGGCTTATTTTATATTTATTATTAATAGCTTGTTGACAAATAGGAAATTATTATGTACTGGTGGTGACTTTAATGGTGTCTTTTGTTTTTAGGTAATTGTCTAGAGGAAACTATGCAAAGAGTATCCATTAAATACTTTATAATTAATATCTGGTAAAAGAAAATTTCAGTTTTGTTAAACAGAATTATTTAATCACAAAGATTAAGTTTTAATAAAAAACCCGTAACTTTTATGAAAAAACATTTTTATATCCAGCTTACTTTAAAGGAGGGGGTTGAGTTGATCTATCTGTACAAATGGCCCTGAATGCTGCTCTTTGCAGGTCCCATCGCCGATCACACAAAAACATGCCATTTCCCAGTTGCCTCAGGCCAAAGGTACATATCTACAACAAAAAAAAAAGTAAATGTAAATTATGCTGCGGGTAGGCTTTATGCAGCCAGTAGTTCTGTTTTATGTCATGTAAATAATGTTTTAGCAGAGCAAAGCCTCAGTTCTTGTTATTAAGGCCATGTTTTCTACACACAATGAACACCAATATGAATAACAAAAAATTCATCAAATATCATCCTATCAAAATATTTTCAATGTTTATGTACTTTACTCTTGAAATATGTTTAAACTTTATGAAAGGCTAAATGTCACTTATTCAACTCTGTCATTTAACATACAAGTTTAGTAAACTAATTAGTGATCAAAATATATACAACAGGATGGAAAATTTGCACCTTTCTAATTAAAATTGGATTTTAATACACCTTAGTAAATCATTAATCTGTTATTATCGTATTTCTTCCATTCATCCTTTTTTTGTTCTCACCCTACTAAGAAAGACTAAATGCATTAACTCTCTTACTATGGGCTCAGTCCCAGGGACTAACCTTGTGACCATTTTATGCTTGTTAGAGTTTTTACACTATAATTCACGAAATTTTATAGATTATCAGTAAACATTACAAGGTTTTCAAACACCAAAAAAATCAGATTTGTTTATTAACTTTTAATATTTTTTTAAGTAATGATTTGCTCATGTAATTTTTCTTTTTGGATGTTGACTATCCAACGTGCAAATTTCAAGATTAAAAATACTTTTATGCATCAGAAAATTGCTACATTTCCCATGAAAAATCTTTCATTGTACGGGTTTGGTCAATTTGACCAACCTTGTAACCACCGTAAAAAATTAGGAAATAGATATAAATTATGCTTTTTTCATTCTAGAATGACTACAAATTATAGCATGAAACCACAAATGTTTAGTGTAAATAGCTTAAATCTCATAACATTATACATCTGTGTATATGTATATTTATTGATCTTTTAATCATGTCTGATTAAAATTACACTCATATTACCATATCCGATAGCATAAATCTGGTCTTTACAAAGTGATCTGTCTTGGCTTTGTTCTAGTGGACCAGTATTTTGTAAAATACAGTTACATTTTGATTATAACACATTACATATGTACTATTTACAATAAAATTCTTAACTTTCAGGAAACTGAGAAACCACATGGGGAAAATTCTGAGCTTTTGATTGGTTATAAACACATGATAGAGTGAAGCAGGTGTATGTAAGCAAGTATTTTTGCAAATGGAAGAGGTGGGTGAGGCCACTGTGTTTGATTTTTTAAATATATTGATATCTCAGCAAACAGAAAGGATAGGAGGTTCTTATTTTATATTCTAGCTTGTCAATATTGGTAATCTGAGTCTCTATTTCATAAGAAACTATAGACCTTGTATTTGGACATCATAAACATCTAATTTGAACCACAGCTGCATTCAACATAAAAAAAAAACAATATTTAAGATTTTTTTTTATATTTACTTT